TTTGTATTTTTGGGGCCGGATGGTCGAAAGGAAACGACAAGTGAACCAACACCGCCGGCCCGGCAGACCGTGGGGCGTGGTGGAGTGTGTTATTTTTGGGGCCGACCTTTTCTAACCCCCCCTTCCACTGAGAAGGCAGCATCAGCATGGCACTGCTGGTCATCCAAGGGAAACACCTTACTGCTGTCACACCCCATCCAGCTAGCAGCAGTACGACTTCGCCCTCAGACCCCCATCATAGTGTAGCAATTTACACCATAACGGTAACTGCTTTTCGTCTAACCACTACCCAACAGACCTTTCTGGTATGGTAGGACCTCGAGGGAACAAGCGTTCCACCAGCATAGCTCGTTGGGTCATTGTGATATGCAAGCCCGACCACCACGTCAAGGTAGCAGCTATCGGTCGGGTTTTAAGGGATAAATCCGAGTTTTTAAATTGAAGTTTGACCAAAGGGATAGTGAAGCATCATGAGTTGCAGCGTTCTCACGTTTGCCAGCGATCAAAGAGGGTTCATACTCTATTTCTCCGTTGTGGATAGTCGAAGCCATGGACAACACGGAGTTAGAATCAGGCATTTCCAACTTCTCGAGATGTATTCTCCATGCACATTAATCTGGTTATAATATCAAATGTTTGCTTGAGTACTCTCACTTTTGTGGAAAAAAAACTCCGCATAATGAAAGCAGTAAGACTTCTCTGCTAGAGGTAATGAACGTGGAACATAAAAGAGTATCCTGAGAGAATGACTGGGAGTGCCTAAACGTAGGTCATAGGAAGGCATTCGGAGAGATCATTTCTCGGTATTTTTAAGATCTGGGTGTTGGTATATGGTGTTAATGCCGGAAAATTAGTAGAAAATTTATGTAACCCGTTATGGGTTCCACCTAGCATGCTGTTTGCTTGCCCAAGCCGAATTTGATGTAGAGGGATTTAAACCCTATTCGTTTTCCGGCAAATAATTATCGCAAAGATGAATACGCAGTCAGTATAAACACACTATTACTGACTAATGGTCCCCATTGCTATATGTCGCATCAGCAAATTAACGTACAGGGCACTAAGATGAAAGAGAAACACGGAAAAAAGTAATCGAGAGTGGTGTAAAGTAGTGAAAAGAGGACAACGATGAATGGAACAATAATGAAATTTGGTATGACGACTAAGATGAAGATAATTTTTAAGTGAATCTGCGCCACAGATAGCTTTCGAGCCACATCAACTATTGTTGCCAAAGACCTATTTCGAGCATCCTTAAGAAAAATCATTTTCACACACGTTTCAGACAAACAGTAAGAGACTTCATGGACTGATGCCATGTTTTAGTCTAGTCACCTTTAACCTTTATCCAGACTGAACCTAATTTAGTTAACATCGTGCGACAAAGCAGGCGGCGGCCATGAGTGCGTAACGAGTGTCCCAGCCACCCAAGTCAAACACATGAAGGCTTCTCATGTCCTTTACCTTTAATAACCATGTTTTAAGGCTGTATAGTAAAACAGAGCGAATTGGAACGAAATGCGTCCAATCCTTAATAGGTAATCGGATATTATGGCCAAGCAATAAATGGCGTAAGATGGAAAGGGTCTAACAGGCCTTTTGCATCGGTGCAGAGATTTCATCAGTCACTGATTTACAAGGGTTGATCCGACTTTCCAAGTAGGTGAGGTGGTCAAAGCCGTGAACCACTTTGTTTCCAAATGCCAGACGGCACCAATGTAGACCAGTACTGTAGCAACAGTTTGCATCTGAGTGGCGAGAAACACAACCCAAACATTCTCAGTTCCCCACCCAGGATATCCAGAAGACTCTACATCGTGCCCGTGCCTTCACGTAATAAGACCATGTCAAATGCGCACTCTAGGTTTAAGAAGGAGGCTCCTGTGACAAGGTCAGTCACGGTAAAAATCAGACAAGGAAAGATACTTCTATAAGCACATCTATTACAAAGGTAATAAGAATGGAGAGAGTGGATATGCTCGACGGACACCACTCGATGTATACAACTCATCATAGTCTCAAAACACGTCAATATGTGTTCGAGTATAGAGACCTAAACACAGTCAGTTACTTACTTGCTACTGCTTTCAGTGAGACACTACCATTAGACTTCTCGATCGACGGAGTTGAATACTGCCCTCAGGTCAAGAAACAGCTAGTTCCCGGCACCGGTAAGTGTTCCTGTGCGACAACCAGGCTAATGGTAAATATCTAGTCGATACACTAACGAAAAGGTCTGAAACCTGTTTGCTTTCTTAGGACTGGCTGTTTACAAGTTTTGACTAGACGTGTAATGGTTATAGAACCTGGGATCTTAAACATTACGTCCATCATACTAACTTTCTATGTTTATCATAGGGGGACTTTACTTTCATGAAGAATGGGACAATCAGAAACTGAGACTAATCAGAGGAGATCACATCTGACTCCTGTATGTTAGGTATCAATATTGGCCAATCTAACCCTGCTGCTCTTGCTCGTTTCAGGTTACTTACAACCTTTATAACTTCCAAAAGAGCTGTAGGACTTGTCTGTGTTCCATTCAAAACCTGACTGGATAGAGAGCAACGGAGTATTATCTGGAGGATAGCTGAATTGTCCCCTCAAGCGTTCCACCTATCGTTCCAGTCACCTCAGCGAGTCAATCGCAGATCCATTCCTCTTCGCTATGGTTTCACTAACCACTGAGCTGCTTCTGCTCCTCAGAGCCTATAGAAATGCCTTCACGTGCATCCATCTATTCAGTAAAAACTGCTGAATTTCACTGGCCGTTTTTAACTACTTTCTGAGGGTCAGTAACAGTTTTTAACACCGTTTTTACGGGCAGACTGAAGATGGTGCCAAGTTTCATCATAACTAGTGGTATTATTTTGATACCTGTCTAACAAGTTCATCATTGACAGTAGTTTAAGTATTCTCGTTATCGAGCTACGCTCAGAATGGTCTTGCTGTTGTAGTCCATTTACGTGCAGACATTTGGGTGCTTGAACTAGGGACTTATCAACGCTCAAACTTCCTGTAGAAGGAGCAGTAGCCTTCCAATGAGTATCTCCGGTGAAAATTAACAACAATTTGGTTTATTTATGCCCACCGCTGAGTCGAAGTCGGTGGATATCACATCAGACAGTGTCTTTCTCTATATCTGAAGTTTGCGCTGGTCATGACTGTCTGATCACATTTGTAGCCATTACCATTATCCATTCCTCTAGATAATATTCAGACAGTACCAATAAAGTACCTTTCTATCCGAATTCGCGGCCCTATCTGTTCATTGAAATCGTCTACCAAAAACTCTGAATGGTTGATTTTCAGTGGAAGACTAGGCAGTTTTCGGTAGAACTCATTCTTCACTTCTTCTAAACTGTAGTTAGTGGGTGGGCATGTAGAGATCATAAACAGACAACGGCGAGTTTCGCTGCTCTTTTGAGTCCTCAACCCACCATCCAGTCAACTAGCACGCAGGGGTTCAGCAGAGTATTTCATTTTTTGCTTCAGCTACACCCACATCTACAAGACAACAAATAGTCACAGAATCTCCAGAAAATCGGTGGAGAAATCTTGGAAACTTGATGTACTGGTCGGATGAGGTTAACTGAACAACTTCACTAGGGTCCTGTATGCATGTCTCACAAACAAAACACATCCATTGCCTAAGATACCAGAATTTTGGCCCGCAAAGCTTGTTGATTGATTTAGCAGGTGTGGATAATGACAGCTACAATATGTAATTTGCAGCATAGTTTCAAGAGATCAGGGATGCTATCCTGTGAAGTTGGAACGCTATCAATAGCTGAACAGCCAGAACAGATTAAAGGTCACATAGGAGCACTGACCGACAGATATAAAGAAAGGTCGAAAGGCGAAGATGTGGAGAATTGATAATTACCTGCAGGAAAATGAGTGCTGACTGTTGTGAAGGTCGTCCACACCTACCAGCTGTATACACTGTGGAAGGTTCCTTCTTCAACAGGTGCTTGAAAAAAGAAATTGTATGAAGTGATGCACGACCCCATAGCCCACAGAATATCTGCATAAACCGGCCACATACAGCCGTATTGGAATTTTGAGGTTTAGCTGTGATTTATATGCAGCCAGAAAATTCACACCAGCGGCACTGGAAGAGTGTAAGGACCGGTGTGCTGCTTTGGGAATCAACCTTTTATGAACCCTACGTTTTACAGGGAAGACTTTTCGGTTTGGGCAGTTGAATTCCAACTAGTGAGTCATGGGTTTAAACCCCGTTCCACCGACCGAGGTTTGGGCAGCCAGGTAGCATCATTGGCCCTCAAAAAAAGGTGTAGTTCATTGCCTGATGCACGAATTTGCACTATGTTGCTGAATGCGCTCCAAACATTTGTAAGGGGGAGGCAGTGTCAGCATGGTAATGCTGGTCATCCGCAGGAAATAGTGATCGAACTCAAAGAAAAACTGGACCACCACAGCGATAATTACTGAAAAGATTAGCGAAGGATAACAAACTATTATCCTTTTCACCGCAAACTGACTGCATGTTCCCACCAACATAGCTCGTCGGGTCATTTTTATTTGCGAACCTAACGAATACGTCAAGGTAGCAGCTATCGGTTAAATGGTGGAATTACGGTTGATCAGCTTAGGCATTTGACTTGTAAGCGATCAGTTCGGAGCTCCAAGAATTCAAATAAAAGTACGTGGGAAAATAGTGTGCAACTGGATTTCCAAAAACTGCATAGGAAGGCTACAAAGTTGTGGATGCATTCACACAGAACACAAGTATTTTCCATTCCCGACATCTCCAAACCGAACGAATAATACTGATCCCACTGATGAATATTCTAGTCTATGAACTACATATCTGCAGCGATTCTTACTACGAGCATCAACTGGAATAAAAACGTCAGAATACGACTTCACAAGAGACATTAGAGTTTCAAATAACCTGAAATTCTCCGGAAAATTTTTCAAAACGAGCAAATTTGGTTACATAATTTAGAGTAATAAAGAAACATTCTTCCACCTACTTGCAATTTAGCGACGTATTTACAGACCATTTCAACATTGACTTTGTCCAAAGAGTCAAAAAGAGCTAGTATTTGAATAGCACTAAGTGTTGACAGCAAGTGTGAATCGTGTTTCAAAGAAGAAGAAAATCCGCCATCAGACTTTTGACAACTCAGTACGACGTCAATTATCTCATCTTTGTCTACTTCTCCCAGGGCATCGAGGAGATCAAGAGCAGTGAGGACCCAATACATACCAGACATTTTAACGTAATCCGTAGTGCAATCTGTTTTTTGTTTACACTGGGCTAAGAATTCAATGTGTTTCTGTAGCAATAAATCTTTTGGATGATTATCTCCAATGATTTCGTCGACAATTGGGTGTGACATGACCTGTAATGATCACCTGTTGATAGGTTTTTGTCTAACCTGTAGATACGCAGGTACGTTGTTGCAGCAGAGCACGAAGAGCAGTGTGAGTTTAGTGGGGACCACGAGAATCTGCAAGGGGAAAGAGGAAAAGAAAAAAAGGGGCCGAAGACTCAGTAAGTACACATGATATACTTAAATTTAATAATAAAAGATAATTAACAAACGGTAGAGTTTGATAACGAAGAGTTAAGGCAGTCTATGAATCGAAACTTGAAGGTAAATGAGGAAGATTTTGAACGCGTTACAAACCTTCAATATCCAATATCCAATATTGATAGTGCGAGCATAGAAAACTGGTAGTTTTTGATCTCTCGCATCTAGTTCTTAGGGCTTGGTCCGAGTTGTTCGGCCCACTCACGCAGTGGACGAGGAAATCCCCTCTGCTTTCTTGCTTTTAGCCTCGGTGAGGTGGATGTTTTGTGGGTTAGTAAGTTGCAATTTGTAGAGTGATTGGGGAGCTACGGGTTACTGGGAAGTTTAGGGAACCGCCATGACTCCCATCTGTGCAGGTACCTGAAAGAGAATAGCAAGGTAGTGGTAAAAGAATGAAGAGAGAATAAAAAACAAAGAGAAGAAAGGAGAAAAATAATAATAAGGGAAGGGAAAAGGGAAGGAGAAGAAAAGGAAGGGTGAAAAAGAGAGATAAGAACAAAAGAAAAGTATTTGGGAGTTGCGCGAATGGTGGCTTGGGTTTGGTTCCTACAGAAGAATTGGTAGGTAATGTGGGTGTATGAAGGAGGGAGATAGTGAGTGGTAGTTAGGAGGGAGTTCGGGGGTGCTGAGGTCGGTGACTACCTGAGTACGTCCGTGGTAGTCCATGCGAGGTGACATAACTGTCTAATCGCCTCTTGGATGAGTCGACTGAGGGAGCTATAACGATATGTCACCGTAAGGCATTCCATAAAGCACATACTCTTGGGGAGAAAAATTTGGACCTGAGTATGGTGCTGGCTCTCTGGTGTGCTATCTTAATGGGGTTTCCTCGTGAAGATCGTTGAGTTGTAGGCAAAACTGATTTGTTTGTATGGTCTACCTGATGGTCGATCTTGTACGCCATAACGAGGTCACCCCTTTTCCTGCCATAACCCGAGGTAAATAGGTTTAGGTGTTTAAGTCTTTCAGGATACGTCCTTCCCCATAGCCCCACAACAGATTTTGTTGCAGTTCTTTGTATTCTTTCAAGGAGGTTAGAGTCTCAATGGAGTGTTGGAGGAGCCACAGTATTAAAGACCTCTAGATGCGTCCGCAAGTAGTATTTGAAAATTGTGAGGAAGAGTTCAGGGTGAGGGCTCCAAGCTGCCTACGCAGAAAGTGTAGAATTGCGTTCGCTCTGGTTGTCATACCCTTGTAGTTGGAGCTGGTGTCCAGGGTGCCGGAGAAGTTGAGCCCTAAATCTTTCTCCATGGACACTCTGGTGACAGCACGGTTGCTCAAGATGTACTTGAAGTCGGTCATGCTTGCTTCGTTTTTACTGATGTGCATTACTTTGCATTTCTCCAGGTTGAAGCTCAGGCAATTTTCCGACGACCAGAGCTCGAGTTGCTGCAAGTCCTTTTGTAGCGCTGTACAATCAGCTCCTTCGTTTACCAACCTCCAAATTTTCATGTCGTCAGCGAAGAGGAGGATGGGTGAGAATATTTTATCTGGCAGTTCGTTGACAAACAGGAGGAACATAAGTGGTCCTAGGGCTGCTCCTTGGGATACTCTTAACGCCGAGGGCCTCCACTCCGACCTTATTCTGTTCACTTTAGTGCAGAACTGCCTCCTTTCCAGGTACTTTTTGAACCAAGAGAGTAGGGGTTCACTTATACCAGCTGACATGACCTTATGAAGCAGGACTGTAGGTGGAACACCGTCAAACGTTTTGGTAAGGTCGAGAGAAACAATATGTTATCCCAGCTTAGTGTCCAGTCGTCCCAGGCGGTTAGTAAATGAGCAACCACTCCAAAAGCCATGTTGAGCAGTATGGACAGTGTTTTCCCTATCGAATAATTCCCGGATAGTGTCAGTTACTGGGCTTACTAACACTTTAGACACAATAGGGAGTAGAGCAATTGACCTGTAGCTGCCAGACCTTTTCCTGTTCCTTCCCTTGAAGGTGGGTGGCAAGATGGCGCTCTTCCATTCTTTAGGGAGTTTGCGCGAGTCTACTGAGTGCTCAAAAGGGTTGGGAAGTGGTTTAGTAAGCATCTCGGCGCAGTTCTTTAGAACCACTGGTTTCAGGTTATCGCAGCCAGGGGACTTGCCTGGACGTAGCCTGGATAGTTTCTCGAACACTTTCTCTTTAATTGAGATGTGACAGAGGTATTTGTCATTTACAACCTGCTCGGTGTCGTAGCGAGTCGGTGTGGATCTTGTGTCAGTGCTAAGTTGTGCTTGGAGGTGCGAGCTCAAAAGCTCGGAAATCTCTAGACTACCTAGTATGCTCCCGCCATGGCCTGTGACAAGATTCACCCCTTACTGGTTGACTTCCTTTTCGACATGAAGCGGTATAAGTTTTCGGGATTGCTCTGTAACCTCGCTGCCAAGTTTGTTTGATGGGAAAGTCTGTTGCTACGCACTCTAATGTTACAGCGGTTACCAATCCTTTTGTAGTTCAAGAAGTCAGACTCCCTGAGTTATGTACTCCACTCGAACCAAGCCTACTTCTTGCTCTGGATAAGCTTCTCTGTCCCACGCTTTAACCATGAGGTTCTCACTGATTGTCTTTGTGTTACTTCTGGCACACTGTGACTGATGGCCCCAGTGATTATTTTCTTCACCTCCAACCACTATTCATCTATTGTGAGATGAGTCCAGTCTACCGGCCATGATGCATTCATGAGATAGTCCCTCATGGTCTTATGGTTGGCCTTGCTGTAGCAAGGGAAGGTGTTGAGCGTCTCCAGTTTGCAGAGCCTCCCTAGTAATCATGGAGAAGGTGATTACAGCGTGGTCACTGAGGCCAAGGGGAGGTTGGATGCAAACGTCCTCCATGAGAAATTCATCGTTCGTCAGAACGTAGTCAAGGCGCGATGCGTTTCCGTTAGGTCCCCAGCGTGTGGCATCGCCCACTTTCCCTGAGAGGCCAGCAGTCTTAATTGCATCCTTCAGCTTCTGATTGAAGGATCTGATGCGTCTCCCTTCCGGCTCCGGGGAAATGGACGGGGTGTTGAAGTCGCCGACAATGACTACGAATCGTAATTTGCAAAGGAAGTCGTTAAGATCGCCTTGATGACCATTTCCTTGTGTGTAGGGGAGCTGGTGGGGGACCGATATGTGGCTCCGAGCAGGCATTTGGTACGGTGGAGAGTGAAGTAGCACCATAGAGATTCCGAGTGCTGGGTTAAGGCCGTATCGCTAACCACCCTTGCCTTTAAACGAGAGTTTACGTAGAGAGCCACCCCCTCCTGCTCTGTGTTCCCTGTCCCAGCGGAAGAGTTCCATGCCAGTAATATGCATCTCTTCGTCGGAGATGACCGGCGAGAGCCAGGATTCGGTGGTGAATATGATGTCGGAGTGCTGATGTGCACACAGCATCCTCATTTCTGCTACCTTCCCCCTTAGCCCCCTAACGTTGCTGTGTATACATGTTGGAGTGCGCCTGCTGAGAGGGGAGGTCTGGTTGCGTATTTTCGCGGGATGAGCGCTTACGTGGTTGGGTCTAGCGTCGCCAGTCCTCATAGGACTGGCATTGTTCCGTTTTTTGTATTTTGTTTTTGACTTGGGCGTAGGCTGTGGTGCCTTCCTTACTTGATGTATCTAACTGGTCATCGCCCGTGTGACGACCACTAGCTCCAGAGGTCTTGGTGGTTGCCGTCTCTCCTTTTTCCCTGTGGGTTCAGGCCTACTTTCACACACAGGTATTGAGCCACCCATGCGATCTTTCGCATTATACCATGCGTGTAGAACGTCTGTGGGGGGGCATATGAGTCGAACTGGACGGCGAGTAGTCTGAGATTGGGTACGCACTTCAGATGCGCTGGCCTCGGCAGTCTACTGACGCTGTTGGCCGGTATACTGTCGGGACCAACTTTGGTTGGGAGCCACTGCCATTTTTGGACGCCGTGAAAGTACCGATCTTTGACCGAGCGGTCACTTGGCAATTCTGGAATCCCATGTACAACTGTAGTGTTGTTTCTGTTGGGATTTCCAACCGCTGACTTTCTCTCCTCTCTTATTGACCATGGCTTGTCAGGCCTGGCCCGAATTTTACAGGCATTAACAACGTCCGGTTGTCGCGAGGGAAGGAGTGTGTCTTCAGCCTCTTTGGCAGTATTTAGGGACACACGTAAAGGGGGTGGCTTATCTCGGGGTGCCCGGCTTCCTCGAGAAAGGCGACATAAAGTTGCAGGGAGGGGGGGAGTCCCAGCATCTGACAGTAGTCGGTCCACATTCGGCTGTCAAACCGTTCCCTCTCGACCAACAATGAGTCTGTCGATACATCGACGTTGAACAAAATGATCGAGTTGGTCCTCCTGTGACCTGGGTTCGTTGTGGGTGGCACGCCCGACTTCCCAATGGGTTTGAGTAATTCCACTGGTTGTTTCTCAGTCACGGTGTGTGGGTGTTTGGAATGGGTTTCGTAGAGGCTTCAGCGGTCGATGTCTTTGGCCATGCGCTTGACGTTCCCTGGGGCCGGGTAGGAGGTATGGAGACTTGACCTAATATGGTCCCCACGCGAGGTGGCGTGCCCGCAGCTGGAGCTCTAGGTCTGTTTCCAGGTCTCTCTGTGTTATCCTTTGGTGTTAACCCTACTTTATTCGAGGATGCTGGTAGCTTTTGCGTGGCGGAGAGCATCTCCTTCAGGCTTTCTGCGCGGAGTGCGGGCATTTTCCTGCACTCTGGACAGATGTACCAGAACCACTTGCATGGTTGTCTCTTCATCAGCTTATAGTATTGTCGGGGGACTTTGGTGTCGCAGTGGCAATGAGCCCATCGTTGACACAGGTTGCATGCAAATGCCTCATCGACTACCGAAACAACTTTGGTGCAAACACTGCAGCCATCGGGTGTCGTAATACAGCCTTCCTTCCATGAATAAGGTGCTACGGATTGTGGCGAACTGCTTGTGGCTGCCTTGTTCTGAAGCCTTTTACGTCGTCTTCTATTTCAGGCATGGTATGATCCTTGCTCAAGATAGGACTAGTTTGTGACGGGCTAGTGCTTCTCTGTGTCACCTGTCTGATGGCTACTGGAATTCTAGAAACATGGGTTGGCCACTTCTTTAGAAGTTCGGTGTTCTGCCCTACCTCTGTTTGTTTCTAGTACAGA